TCGCAGGGCAACACAGTGACAAACAGGGCAAACAAACATTCACACACACACTTATACATAAGAAGAATATTAGAGAACCCAATAGTCATGTTTTTGGACTGTGGGAGGAAGCCGGAGTACCCGGAACCCATGCACGCTCAGGGAGAACACGCAAACTCCATGCAATCCTGGGCCGGGATTTGAACCCGGAACCTTCTTGCTGGATGGATGGATAGCAAATTTAACTGCTTCATTCTGATTATAATGACAGAAAACATGGCTGACAGAAATTAGCGCCTGTAATAAGAGATTGTTTCTACACTACTGGCAACATTAATTGACACTCCAGCTGCAAAAAGTGCACCGCATGAAGGGTACTGCGGCAGTTTAAGCATCGCCATTGCCTAAATGCAAAACATGTTGCTGCAAATGCGGACGTTAGGGCTAAAGAAAGAAAGAAAGAAAAAAGGCACACTAAAATATTCAGAGCCAAAACAGCTAACATGGCATAAGTGTTGACGTTAATGTCTACTTAATGATTTTGCTGTATAGAAAACGTGTTTATTTTGAAAAAAAAAACCTGTCAACATATTTTATCTGATAGAAATGTGATCAGTTTCAATTAATTACAACGCCTCTAATGAATAAGATTTTTTTTTTTGACACTTATAAATATTTAGGGTTTCATATTTTCCCTCCGTGAGAGCTGCATTTGTCTGCATATCTTTGATATACGAATATTAATGCTCCAACTGTCATGTGTAAGTAATTTTCCTCTTACTTTACATGCAAATGCACAGGCCGTTTTTCATAAGCTTTAAAATGATTCTAAAACCTAATTTTTCTTGTAAAGTACATCTGAGGGGACATTTTTTTTTCAGATGTATTGCAGCTGCGAGCGGTTTATAAGTCCTCTTGTGACAGAGTGGAAATAAAGAGAAAGGATGTTGAAACGCGGATATTCAGACTGAAAAGGAGCTCAGTTAAAGAGCTTTGATCTATAAATGATCTTAGACCTCATCAGGATCTAAATTATTCCCATCTAACCTCAAGCACAAAAGACCACACACCCAATTGCAGGTATTAGAAAGTATAAAAAGATAGGGCCAAAATTGGAAAGTTAGTCTATATAAGAGTCTTCTATATAAATGATGTGTGTTTCTACGTTTTTTTATCACTTCTTTACATGGTAGATCTAAAACAGTCCCAAATCTCTGGACATCTACCGCAAAGATTTGACACATTCAACTCTTAAAATTAAAGCAGTTCGTCAGCAGTAATAAAAAACCACTCCGGTCCAACCACACATCTGCTGAACAGGGATTTACTTCTTCCTATTTACATCTTGGCACCTAGATCGTTCTCGTCTTCCTGTGTTCGGAGCCGAGAGCTGATAAACAACGTCGGCCTGCCAAGTTTTCTCAGCTTGTTGATTAGTGTTGGGTCTGTCTTGACTTAGGACGAGTGGGACTAATCCGAGATGATGCGATCTGTCTGTCAATCATGGCAGCGGTTAGTCAGAAAGAGGTTGATTGCAGAAGGGTGGATGAGCCAAAAACATCACAGCTTCACGTAGTAAACATGTATCCTAATTTATGAAGATTTCTTTTTTTTTTTGCTTATTTGAAACACAGTCCAGGAGCCGTGATAATACGTCTACCTTACAGCATGTCTGATATCCTACATACCAGTGTGGATCTGCCGGTGAGCCTCCAGGGATTCCTCAGTCTGGAACTGGGCACCACACTGGTCACAGACGATGGCCTTCTCTCCGGCTGGACGGCAAGAAAAAGGAGGAAAATAAGTGAGCATTTCAAAATTAAAAATCTGGAGCATAACATTCAAAAATATATAGGTAACTTCAGTTTTTTCTTCACATTTTTTTTACATAAAAATACCAATAATAACCTTTGCAATTTATGCGAACAAACTGCATAAGCAGATGCGGATTAATAAGGAACCATGTCTGTCTGTTGAGGCTGATATATGTGTAGTTTGGCAGAAGAAATCCAAAAACAAAATATACTTAATTCAGGATAAGAGCTTGTTTGCTTTACATAAGCTCTACATGTTAACTCGCTACTTAATCTGTCAGAGAATCTGCATTCTGTTTTGATAACTTGCTTTAAAAAACTTATACTTTTAGGGAGTTGATTTTACATTTGACTGTTTATTGGATGCTTTGTCATTAATTTGATAAATCCCTCTATCCGCCCTCAGACTGGTCAGACTCGGACTTCATGAATATGTACATTTTATCAGTGGGCGTCTCTTTCCTGAGACACGAGTTCTGAAAAGCTGTTTCTTCTGCACACGCTCTAAAAGCAACAACAGAAGTAGCCTGATAAAGATGATTAAGCATTAACCTAAATGTAGACAAGAGTACTATTCGCTTCTGCATGCTTACATATTGCTCAGCTATGCAGAGTAGAACAGATACTCTCCTCTGATTTGATCCCAACCAGTATTTATGGCAGGCATAGATTAGAGTTATCTGGATGATCATGATCTGCTGATACTCACAGATATCGTTTTATTTTTATTTTCTACAGCTGAAGGTAAATGTTTATAAGCTCACAATATACCTTCAATATTTACAAACTTGTTATGTAAAGCAATAATTATTTTTAACTGCACAGGAGGCAGAGGTGGGGACTCGAGTTTGTGACTCGTACTCGAGTCGCACTTAAGTGGCATATTTAATGACTTCAGACTCGACTTAGACTTGCATTTGAAGGACTTCAGACTCGACCGAGACTCGCGATTTCCGTAAGTGTTTTTTGTTTTACTAACTTGACTGATCGCCGCTCGCCTTATCCGCACACAGCAGAGGTTTAAAAAAAACAAAAAACGGCAGAGGGGCTGTCAGTCATGTAGCACTGACGTCACTGACGCTACGTGACAACGCTACATGACATATAAGCATGTATTTTTCATTTACCAGTTCAAGATAATGATCATTCCATAGATATAATAGCGACCTTTAAGCTATACCGTCTCAGTGAAGGAGATGAAAACACAAGGAGAAACAAGCAAGCTAATCGAGTGATTAGAATTTATTGTGCGATTAATTTAATATTGGAACAGGCCTACTCTAGACTTAAGACTTGATTTGGACTTGAGCTCTCAAGACTTGAGACTTGACTTGGACTTGAGCTCTAAAGACTTGAAACTTGACTTGAGCTCTAAAGACTTGAAACTTGACTTGGACTTGAGCTCTCAAGACGTGAGACTTGACTTGAGCTCTAAAGACTTGAAACTTGACTTGGACTTGAGCTCTCAAGACTTGAGACTTGACTTGGACTTCAGCTCTAAAGACTTGAGACTTGACTTGGACTTCAGCTCTAAAGACTTGAGACTTGACTTGGACTTCAGCTCTAAAGACTTGAAACTTGACTCGGACTTGAGCTCTAAAGACTTGAGACTTGACTTGGACTTGAGCTCTCAAGACTCGAGACTTGACTTGGACTTGCAAAAAATGACTTGTGAACATATCAGGAGGTAATGTACTCAAATATAAAACAAGGAAAGTGGCTTATTTTCAGATCTTTGCAGAGGTAGATAAGGTTGGTTTATTGGCTGTAAGATTGAGCCAAAAGCCAATCAACTAAAATGAAGGAAATCTGGGCCAATTGCCCAGCTGGCCAGTTAATCAGTGCATCACTAATTATCTTGCATCTCTGGTTGTATATTTAGGGTTGTTCTAGAAGGTGGACCGCCACCTCAATCTCAAGATTTCTTCCATCATTGCCCCATATTTATCTCCTTTATGTCATGATCCCAATATTTCAGGTATCTTATAATCTCCTAATGTCTCAATTTGCATGTAAATTTAATGCCATGTTTGACATCATAAGGTCTTTATAATAATGGTATAAAAAGTCGGTCTATACAGACGTTTTAATCTCCCTTCATATAGTAAATCAAAAATGTTTCAAGTAACATCTTCACTGCTTACCTCTAAGCACGTTCAAAATAATATCTGGCAACTTTCCTACTATGTTCAACAACCCGTTGCTTCTGTTTATGAAAGAATATAAGGGTGCGCAGCCATCGCACAGCTTACTTTATATAAACTAAACAACAATAAAAGAAGAAACAGGAGGCCCACATATACACCCATGCAGGGCGCTGCTGAAGGGCACATCAGATCAAACTGAGACAAATGACTTTTTATGGCTTGGCAACGAGCTCCATACATGCCATACACATCACACATCAAACAAACGCAAACATACAGTTTTATTTTATTTTTTTACATCTGGATGTTGTGTGTGTGTGTGTTTCCACTACAAGCATAGAGCTATCTCCCCCCGACTAGACCTTGGTTTGCTCTTGGCTCGGCCTCCTGGGTTACGACACCTCCACAAAGGGGAGAGAGAGAAAGAGAGACAGAGTACGAAATGAAAACAGGAAGCCAATTCTTAGATGACAGAGAGAAAATAAGTAGGAGAGAGATGTACTGGTGTGGTTTTGTAACCGCGGTGACATTGGGGAACGGCTTGTACTGTAATAAGCTCCACCAAAAGCAGAAACGACACGCACTGTAACATGACAAAGTGTGCCAGCCGGCACGGCCATTATGCAACAAGTTATGCAAAAGACGGGATGGTGCACATGTGATTGTGACTAGATCATGAGCCACTGTAATGCAACCTAAAAAGCTTGAAAATCCCGGATTAATCCGCAATATCACAGCATGCATTACAGTTTTGGAAAGTTCTTTTTTAAATGCTGAGCTGTGGAGAAAAATTGGGTTTGGCTGCATGTTCAAAAGGGACCCTTTGCAGAGTGAGCTAGTGTCAACTGCACAGATGAGCATATGGTTGAATTAGCTTGGCAAAAGCATCCACTTAACCTTTGGAGGAAAGAAACACAGATATAGAGACGGATTCCCTCATCGCTTCATCGTTATAGTGCCATATTTGCTTTCATCACTACCTGCCTTTGTTGCTGCTGAAACATCTGATTCATCATTGCTGTATGTCTATTTTTTTTACCTTCCAGGAGCTGCAGCTACTTGGATAAAAGTTCACTGGACTCTTTCCATATATTGATCCGATTCCATCGACTGCCCTTGTAGAAAACAAGTGGGACACTTTTACGACCACAGGAGAGCAACTTCACCTCTGTCCCATCAAACTGATGGATTACATCAAAGTAAATACACAATGTAGGTCAACTATTCATGACCTTTCGTTATTGAGAGCAATTATCCAGAGCAGCTCATCACTAACTTATTAAAAAGTTGAATAATTTTAGATATTCAGTTTTCATTTCGAGCAGAGGGATGTGATTCATCTGTTTACTTCAATAACTTTATGTGTCAATAGGGAACTTTAAATTAGGGACCAGAAATGTCACATGCGGTGTTCCTCAAGGCCCCTTTCTGGGGCCCCTCCTATTCAATATCTATATGCTCTCCTTGGCAAACAACCAGATCAGTTAACATAACTATGCAGACGACACACAGCTTTACATCACAATGTCACCAGGTGACTATGAACCCATCAGTGCATTGGCTAGATGCGTAGAGCAGATCAATGTATGGGTGCTCCATCATTTTCTACAACTGAAAAACAACAAAAATGAGGAAATAATGTTCGGAAGAAAAGAGGAGAGATCCAGATTAGCACACAGCTGATCAACACTGATTATGGCCGAAATGTTGGTGTAATGATCTGAAACTTTAAGGGCACAAAAAGGCTGTTACTAAGTCAGCCTTTTATCACCTGAAGAACATCTCCAGGATTAAAGGACTAATGTTCAAGCGGGAGCTAAAAAAAGTATTTAATGTATGTATCTTTATCAGGTTAATTACTGAAACAGTGTCTTCATAGGTTTGCATATAAAATCCATCAGACAGCTACAGCTGATCTGTAATGCTGCTGCCCGTGTTTTCACTAGAAGTAAGAAAGTAGAACACATCAGCCCGGCTCTGAATTGCTTCCACTGGCTCCCTGTAGCTCAGAGAATAGACTTTAAAATCCTTCCGTTAGTCTATGAACCACTGAATGGATCAGAACCTCAATACATAACAGATTTGTTGTCAGTGTATCAAGCTACCAGACCAGTCAGGTCTTCTAGTTCCAGCCAGAACTAGAACCAAACATGGAGAAGCAGCATTTATTTTGTATGCTCCATTTAAAAGGAACAAACTCCCTAAAAGTGCTGAAAGCCTGAGTTCTTTCCAGTCAAAGTTAAAAACCTATTTGTTCAGAAAAGCCTTGACTGTTGAAGTTAAACTGTTAACTGAGGTATTAGCTTAAGCTGCGAGTTAACCTCTTACCCTGATCCAGAGCAAGAATCCAAACACTGCAACAAAACATTCCTTTGCAAGTGTGATCTTTCACACATTAATCTTGCAGTGATTACTATTATAGAGCACATTGTGCAATTTTAACTGAAAATGTATGTTATGGCTACACAATCCTTAGAAAAGTGCTGACATGACAATTGGCACACAGTCATCAGCTCCATCCACAGTGAGGATACAGAGCTATATGCACAGAATCTGATTGTAAGAGGAGTGTGTTCTGGGTTTTTAATGAAAGGTTGGGGGAAATGAAAATAAAGCACATCAGCAAAAGCAAATGATCACCATGCTACACCGAACTTACACAAGAATGTATGCAAAAGAAGGTTTCACCAAATGAGTGCATATACTGCACATGCATACAATGAAAACTATATGCCAACTGACTAGTAGGATCACAGTTCCTTTGATGATATACTTGTCTTAATGTCTTGTTGCAATTAGCATTAATAAGAAACA